CAGGACTCAGGTGATGTTTCCTCTCGTATTTCCATTACTCGATTATGGATGAATGGCTTCCATTTATTTAAATCACCCTTTATCCAATGTAACGTAACAGAAGGGTCTGACCAAAAATATACATTTATCTGGAGTCTTTTCTCTAACTGTTCTTTGACTTTCGAGGCTAATCTTGCTCCGAAGAGCGCCCCCATCAGCTCTAATCTTGGAAGGGACAGCTTCTTCAGTGGAGCTACTCTGGTTTTGGAAATGACAAAACTACTTCCTATTTCGCTGTCCGTCGTGACGTATCGCATGTATATCACAGCTCCAGATGCCTTCTAACTTGCGTCGGTAAAGCAATGCATTTGAATATCTCTCAATTCAGACTTGTTTCAGAAGTAATGTCGCGGAATGTTTACATCCTGAATCGCTGACAGTTCATTAATCCATTTTTTCATTCTGTTTTCAAAGTCTAATGGTAACGAATCATCCCAATCTACCCCAAATTGCCAAATTTCCTGCATTAGTATTTTTGCCCTAATAGTGAATGGACTTATGAATCCAATGGGATCGTAAAGCTTTCCAATGGTTTTAAGAACTTCTCTTTTTGTCATTAACTTTGTTTTCCCTTGATTAGTTAGATTTTGTGATTCTATCTTCAGAAGGTCTTCCTTGTAATTCCATTTATATCCCAATACCTTCTGTTCCAGAACTTTCTGGATTTCACCATTTTCGTATTCGTCAAAAACTTCCTGAAGATTCCCACAATTTGTTTTCCATTTCGTCGCTTAATGTTTGAAACCAGCAGCCTTCAAAAATATATCTAATATCTTCATATATGAGTTTAGCTTCGTTTTCGTCTTCATCCCCACCTATTAAATCGTCTACGTATAAACATTTGTTCAATAGTTTAACTGCTTTCTGATTTGTTTCTTTAAAAGTATCTTATGTAATGTTTGATAGTAGCGGCAAGCAAAATTGGGCTGGATGTAGCTCCAAACAAAACGCGAGTCATCCTAAGTATACTTTCGTGTTAGGGTTTCCCATCCTTATCTGTAAGGTTATTTGCCCGCAAAAATCTTACAGCATCCCTATCTTCAGATGACAGAAGAAATCTGGAGAAAGGCTTGTTCAATGTCGGCAGTAAATGCTATGTTACGTGTACGAAATTGTATTAATATCTCTAACAATGGTGGATTTAAATTAGGACCGTAATAGAGACAATCGTTTAAAGAGTATTCATTTTTCGAATGGCTGGATGCATCAAATACAACTTCTCACGGGTTTGTCAGGTCGGATAACTGGCTGGTGAGTCATGTAATAAATTCTTCTTGTTTCTTCAGAACTTGGATCAATTTCCTCAGCTATACCCATTTTTAAATGCTGTTCTATAACTGAGTGACACTGCTGTTGTAGCAGTGGATCATTTCTCAACCTTTTAACCAGTTTATTAAAGCGAACTTCCACATTTACGTAATTCGTTTTTAATTCAGACGAATTTTCATTCCAAGGGAGTTTAACTACATATCGCGTTTCTTTAAATTTGATAGTTCTGTTAAAATTCTCTAAAATGTCATTATCTATTTTACTAATTTCCTTCCCTTGTTCTATTCCCAATGTTTCTAATTCCATAAACTGCTTTAAATGTGTTGAGACCAATTTGTCATCAACAATAATGTCCATGTTTAACAATTTACCATTAGAATCAGTCCTGCCTTGAGGGCACCATCCAAATATTGTTTCGGAAGCTTTAAGGTTATTTTTAAAACGTTTAAGCCTACCAGTTATTACTTCATGATAGTAATCTGCTCCGATCAAAACAGCAATATTTTTGTCACTGAATTCACAAGAATCAGCTAACTGTAATCCTATTATCCCTTTCTTAATTTTGGAAACTGGGATATCAGGGAAAGCTAAATTAGTTGCACATATTTGGTTAGTTTCTAAAGCTTCAATTTCTATATTTAGGGATGGTTTACTTCTGTTTTCTAGTTTAACTTTCACAACATTGTAAGTTTGTTCTGTTGCCTGGTTAACCCCAAAGGCAAATACGGACAAAGTCTCCTTTTGAATAACAGGTAATTTACACTTCTCTGAAATGTCCCGAATTATAAAACTTCTCATCGATCCATTGTCTAATAGAATACGAACTGGTTCTAAATTATCCTTATCAGAAAACGGACGTATCATCACAGTATACGTTTGTAGCAATGCACTGCGGAAAGTTTCGGTTTTTAATTGATTAATCTGAACATCTTCTTTACTGGATGGAATTGTCGACACGACCTTGTTTTTCTCCGATTTGGTTTTGAGTTGGAAACAAATAGACCTATTGTGTTTTTTATTACATATTTCGCACATTTTTCTTTCCTTACACTGCTTAATTTTATGCTGAGATTTTAGGCACAAAAAACATAGGGCTTCAGATTTTAAAATATTTCTTTTCTCCTCCACAGTTTTAAAATTTCGCAGTGCTCCGAATCGTGTAGTTCGTCACAATATATGCATTTACTGCTAGCGACTGGAGCAACATATTCATACGTTTTAGGCGAACTTCTTTCGAACTGTTTACTGTGCTTGTTGTTTACATTATCGTGAGCGGAGTGGAGACGATCGTTTGATTTATGCCTCCAGTTATGAATCATTTCCGCTCGGTGTTTTGTTTTTGTTTCTCTACTTTCATTTAACTGTGTAGCTCTTTCGCGGCTTTCTATTTCTTTACGAATAAATTCCATTAATTCATTAACGTTCCATGTTTGGTCACTGTTTCTACTGCGATTGTATTCTAATGTTATCTCTGATGGAATTAATTTTAACAATATTGGGCATAGTAAACTACCGTAAGTTTCTGATACAACGTTCATCGACTTTAAGCATCTAATTCGAGTTTCACACTGATCATATAAATTCCTAAGATTTTCTATATCCCTTACATTTCTAACAGGGGAAAGAATTAACAGTTTATTCATGTGAGCATTTATTACCAAATCTTTTCTCCCAGACCTGCTAATTAACAGTTCTATAGCTGAATTGTAGTTCTCATTTGTAAGCGACAGTCCGGAAACAGTATTATAAGCTACCCCACCTAGTAATGACTTTAAGTAACTGAACTTATTTACTTTCGATAATGAGTCATTGCTATGGATAGCTGCCTCGAATTGACTCCTGCCAATTGACTGAAAATCCTGCCAATTGCTAGAATCACCAAAAATTTAGCGATAGTCAATTTTGGAAGGCGAATAATTTTATTATTTTCAAGTTTGGAATCTATAGCGGTTTCATTAGGATCCGAATTTTCGAGTTTGTGTAATTCCCTCAATTTTTTTCTTGCTCTAAATTGCCACAGTTGGATTTTTTCTTCATATTCTAGAGCGAATGAAACTTCAAGTTCAAATTCATCCTCTGGGACCTTCAAATCCTGTTCTATTTGAGTGTTTAAATCACTCAGAGTTTTTGCCTTTTCGTTTAATATGTCTAAAGTTTCTTCTATTACATTTATACTAACGTCATCTTTTGCTTAATTCTGTCTAAATTTTCTTTAGTACCTTGGAAACTGCGGTCCTTAATACTTTGCGTTTCAATTTAAGCTTAGCGACAGGATCTTCCATAATTACACTTTAAATAGAAAACTTATCCTACCTTTTGCAGGCTTCCCACACTTCACACCATGCTAATCCATACTTACGAATCCATATTTTCGAATATTAGCCGAATTCCCTGCATATAGCACCAAAAATGTTTATGTATGCACTAATGTACACTATTTGAATCACGAATGTCGCTGCCTACGCATCTAACTATGAATCTAATGACGTATCTAAATGCCACATCTAAATTTCTATTTCTTTACGAATAAATTCCATTAATTCATTAACGTTCCACGTTTGGTCACTGTTTGGTGGTTCGGCTATAATTCTATGATCAAATACTAAATCTATTTTTAAAAGGATTTATTAAAATACTAAAATTAATCTAATCTAGAATCTAGAATCGAATCTAATGTTACATCTCAGGAGCAGTGTTCTAGCTGCGTCATAACAAATCGAAAGTCAAGTTCTCACTCTTGCCATTTCGAGGCAGAGAAAAGTTTGGTTCTAATCAAACCGGAACATCAGCATGGTGAAAGTTTCTAATCAAACCGGAACAACTCTCATTTGCGTTAGTAAATGGTTCACTAACCATACGAGGGTATTCTTCCTCTGATAAATAGTGCCTTTCTGCCATAATAGTCTGGAGATGAGGCTTTCCGAAATAAAAAGAGAAGAAACGGAAATATATCTGAAGGCAATGCAAAATGTAACAGAACTCCACATAGTAACCTAAAAGACCATACATAGTAGACTAAAAAACTAGAATAAAAAAAGGAATTGGATATAAGTTAGACACTTGAATGTTTATATTAGCACGCTGCAATTTAAAGACCCCACCTCTGTTTAAGCTTTCCCTTCCCCACCCAACCCTCGCAACAGTTGATGAGTAAAATACCAAAGTCAGGCAGAATATATCAAACTTAAGGTCAGGAACCTAAAAGTGTTCATTTCAAAAGTAATGGACATAGGATGCCATCTAGTGACCTTCAGAAAAACGTTCCAGCTTAAAATGCGTATACACAACACCCGTCCTCTGAATGCAATCTCAAGTGATGCGTGGATGGGACACCCGGCTGTAATAGATGTTCTTAGGGAATGCGTATATGGGACGCCTGTCCTGAAAGGGTTAATGCTTTTAAATAGCCCTGTAATCACTAATATAAATTAATAATATAATATATAATAATAATTTAATGCATATAATAAATTAATGTATATGTATACTATTGTAAAAATGTATATAATAATTTAATTAAATATATCTGATATGCCTTACCTATTTTGCACTTTTAGCCTGAATATTATGATTTATCTTTTCTGCCCTGAAATCTGCAAAATTCTAAAATCCACACAACCTCTGGTCCCAAGCTTTGTGGATTTCTGGACTTTTACTATATGTAAAAAATGTATCTACTACATTTGGCTTACCTTTCAGAGGAAAAACAATCATAATCTTTAATAAACAACTGGATATAATAATCCAGTAAGAAACTGCAGCTAGGGAATTTCACAAATGGAATGTCATGGTCTGCTTCTGTCTTTGCTTCAACTCCATAATGATGGAAACAGGAACTATGGAGGGAAAAGAATTCCATATTATTCTAATCTGCTGATAAAACATAGTTATTCCCAGGACCAGATTTAGATTTGATGAGATCCTAAACTATATGAGATATGAAGCCCTTTACGAGGGAGTGAGTCAATTTTTTATATGGGATATGGTACAATTTTTGGGGGTGGTCCCAAGAAAGTGGGGGCCCTAAGCTACAACTTGTGCAGCTTATACATAAATTCGGCATTGGTTATTTTTGATTACCAGAAATTATTCATACAGAGAGATAATAAAAAAAATCGAGTAAATTACATTTTAAAAGTAAGTTCTGTTTTGTTCATTTTGAAAGAAGGCAGTTTTTTTACAATGAATTTCTTTTTCCCCTCCAATGGTGGGCACCTGCTTATAATGGCATAGGCCACTAATACCTCCTATAAGGGGACAGACAAATTACATCCATGCTTTCTCCGGGATTCGAAACCGGGCCCTTCGATATTCCAGTCGGCTACCCTAGCCACTATCTCAAAATACACTGAGCATTTTTAATTAATAAAAGAAGTCTGAATAGCGATTAATCAATAAATTGATACATATTTGCTAATTGTATCCATTTAATATTTAAAAACTGTGTTGCTTATGGCAAAGAACACTGTAACTAACAAATTCTAGTTTGACTGTTATGACCATCTAGAAATAAGAAGTAAGAGATTTTTAATGTCAATAAATATTTAACTTCTTAATGACCAGGTTTTAATACACTGGTTATCATAAATTAAGGAAAAATCACAAAAATAGAGATAACTCCCTCAAAAATAAGCCAAACCGTGTAAAATTTGAATATGTTGCCAAGTAAGAGTAACTGAGTAAAACTGCAATATGCAAATTAGTGGCACTGCACTCGGAATACGTCATCTGCGAGGAAGTCCATATTTAAGAGCAAGCCCACATATTTCAGTGTGATAGTGACATCAAAAATCTGAGACAGCCAATTTGTTACAATGACCTCCAGGCATCATTTGCCTGCAGAACTATGCAGATGGTGAGCCATTGGGAGACTAGAGGCAAAGTCAAACAGAAGTGGCCAGATGGCTAAATGTGAGTCCTTCTGTGGTTCACAGACTTTGGAGGCAATTTCAGACCACAGATTCGGCAACTAGGAGGTTCAACCAAGGACGGCCAACTACTACGACGAGCGTCAATGACCGATATTTGACATTATGTGCATGCAGGAATAGAACCGCTACTCCGATTCTTCTTAGATCCCTTGCTGCAGCCACCGAAAGGTTGGTGTCAACGTCAACTGCACATAGAAGGCTTCATGAAGGTGGTCTGTGTGCGAGGCGACCAGCCATTTGCGTGCCGCTCACGTCACGCCATAGGAGGGACCGTTTGCAGTGGGCATGACAATATGTCCAATAGACGCCTGATCAATGGAGGACTGTTCTCTTTACGGATGAGTCCAGGTTTAGTCTAGAAAGCGATAGTAAGTGTTATTTGATATGGAGAGAACCTGGAAACCCTTATCATCAGTAAAACATCTGTGAAAGAGATGCATACGGAAGAGGCAGTGTCTATGATTGGGATGGCATCTCTTTGGGTGGAAGCACAGACCTCCATGTCTTTCCAAGGGAACCGTGAATGCTCAGGTTTATAGAGCTGACATCCTTGATGTTTATGTGCACCCATATGTCTGGGCAATAGGTGATGCTTTCCTGTTACAGGACGACAACGCAAGACCACACAAGGCTCGCATCGTAGATGATTATCTTCAACAGGAAACAATTATGTGCATGGAGTGGCCAGCTCGATCCCCGGATTTGAATCCTAACGAGCACGTTTGGGATGCTTTAGGGAGACGACTAGTTGCTTTCAATCCGCCCCCTCAGACCCCTCAGACTCAATTGCTTTGCAAGAGCAATGGCTCTCACTTCCTATGGAACTGACAGACCGCATAAATGAAAGCATCACACATCGCTGCATGTGCTGTTTTGCCTCTAGAGGCGACCATATTCCATATTGAAGGTAATTCAATATAGCACCATATTCCATATTGAAGGTATTTTTATAGCAAACTGACATCTTTGATTTGTTCATTTTATACACGCGCTAATTTCTATACTACCATATTTGTCTGGTAATTTTCTTTTTACGTTATTTGATACCTTACTATGTGTTGTACATTGTGGGTAAGTTTCATTAAATTCTACGTGTAACTTTTTCAGTAATCGTGATTTTTCCTTAATTTATGATAACCAGTGTAGTTAGCTACACTGAAAATGAAACATGACATAATCATTGTTGAACTCTGAGCATAAATCAAATATGGAATACTTCAAACCTCCACACCTAAGTCAGAATGAAGTTTAAATCGGTTCAAGTGGTTATTTTCCATACATATGCAAACATTTTGCAATAAGACAACAAAATCTGAAAGATGCAATTCTACAATCTGAGAAACTGCTGTAGAACTTTTTAATACTTCTGACCTTATGGATATCAACAGTTTTAAAGTACTGTAAGTCAGTGATGCAGAGCTACATAAAATTTAATTTATTCAACATTAAGCAACTAGGAAAGTATTTATTACCTCCTACAATGTGCAAAGTGCTAAAAAGAGGTAATATTACATTTCAATTTTAAAGTAGTATTTTTAACTGCAATAGGGTGCTGCCAAACAGTTATACAAAATTTGACATTGCACATGCAAACAAACATTATTATAACAAATAGTTTAAACACATTTCAGGGAAACAATATAAAACAAAAGCATAATATACATGCATAAAATAAATTTGAGTTCACAATATTAATAAAAAGAAACTATGATAAAATTTTAACTGTATCTGAAGAACACACAACACCTTAAAGAGCTATTGTAGTGGAAAGATTTTGCTTCAACAAAAATGCAAATTATTTATTGTTATTAGACAGAATATCTACCACATTTACATTAATAAAAAATCTGATGTGTACACCACATGACTTCCTTGTACGGAATATTAAATTATATGAATTTTTTATTGAATTTCATTTAAATTTATTGGACTGAATTAAATCTACTTTGCCGACAACTCATAAACCACAACAGAATAAATGCATTCTTTAAAATTCACTCTAGTATTTGTTTACCATAGCCACACTCTGGCACTAGATTCACTTAACAGTATTATATTTCGTTTATATTATAATTCATAATGCACAAAATTTATATCATTTAGAATAAAATTATCTAATCATTGCCACAAGTTCTATTCAAATACTATAATAAAGCTAGAATGATGTATAAAAGAAATTAAACAAACAAAACAAAAAAGAAACAGTTTCACAGATGATTGAGTATTTCTCATTCAATTAATTCAGTTCTCACTTCGTGAGAAGGCAAAAATACATAAAAACTCAAAATATCTATATTAAAAATTACGAAGTAAATCTTAAACACTTACTTCCTCGAAAAAATTCCGGAAAGGATTAAGCATGATTTAATTGGCAATAATAAATGAAGGCGTTATCTTTGTTTATCTTTGCGTTATCTTTGTAACTAAGTTTCTCTAGATTGGCAACAAATCCACTAGTCTGCTGTTTCAAATGTAAAGAATCAAAGCCCACCATAAAAAAAAAGGCTTAGCGGCACTTAAACAGCTTTAAAATTGTTGAAAATTCTAAAAATATTGCATACAGACTTACTAAAGGCATAAAAACCTTAACCGGAAGATAAAAACAACATAATTCAATCATTTTTTTAAAGCAAAAAATGTACAATTTACAAACATATAAGAGTAAAGAAACTGAGATCACTGAGCCGGGTAACAGAGGGGATATATATATAAATATATTTATATACGTTTGGTGCGGCCGATTGCAACCAAAATACGAGGTGCACATCTACATGTTATAGCAGTCCTATATACAAAATTTCAACATTCTGAGGCTACTCGTTTTTGAGTTATGTGAGATACGTACGTACATACGCCACGAAAGATTCTCTTCAGAATGGTTTTTGAATCTCGTGGTTTTTGAAAAGGGGTTTAGCTTGTTTGAAATTTTTTGGGTTTAACATTTTTAAATTAATTGTTGCATTTATATGTTTATTTCAAATTTATTAATTATGAATTTCAATTTCTGGTCTTAGTGAAATTTTAGTTCTAAATTTCTTACTTTATGTCTTTAATGATAATTTTTCTACAGCTTAATGCACGAAAATGACTATTCTTAATTGTGTTTTGTTTTCAAAAGAATTGTTTTGTAATTATATATACAGTACAAGGTCTTTAATCCGGATTCGTCAGGACTTCGGCGATCCCGGATTAGGAGTTTTTCCGGATTATAGATCATCAATTTAAATCTGGTAAGAGCTTTTTTTTTTTTATTAAGCTTTTTTTTTTTTTTTTTTTTTTTTTTTATTTATTTATAATGATGAGGCATGCAGAAATTATACAATTAAAAATATGAAACTGTAATTTATGAAATAAAGAGCAATTATAATCTAAAGAGTATCAAAATTTACAAAAAAAAACTTATTATTTCTTTGTTTACTTTATTAAACATTTCTTTCAACGTGCGCATGCGTAAAGCATACATTTCGCATAGTCGAAATTAGAAAATTGCAACCAGAAAACTATTCGATGTGTATTCGTGATATTTATAATGACGAGGAAATTGATTTAAATCATATCGAAGTACATCGAGATGAAACATTACATTTAGTAAGGAATTATAAGCCGAATAAAATAAAAACATCTGCCGTGATCTGGATAGTGCTGACAGATCAACTTCCAGTTCACTGCACCGCCGCGATGCAGTAAGGCAAAGAAATACAATTTAAGAATATTAGCTGAAGAACTGGGAGAAGATGTAGATGAGAGTAAAAAAAAAAAGAGAGATTTGAAAAAGATAATTCTGGTGAACAAAGTGTACAATGAAGAATGTGTCCAGAGAATGGGTTGAATATTATAATACTTGTAGAATATTATATTACAATAAAATTAAATCCTTGTACAAAACGTAATTCTAATAAATACAGTCAAAAGTCTTTAATCCGGAATGATCTATAATCCGGACCTCAAAGCTACGAACTTTCTGCACATGCGTAAACGCATAATGCGGTTACGCATGCGCAGAAATGCGCATAATACCTTTACACATGCGTGTTTAATATATAACGGGCGGTATAAGCTAAGCTAAAATTATCTAATTATCTATTTCAGTTAATGTTGCAGATTGCGTTGTTTCTTAATCTTCTAATTGGATCTGGCTTATTATTTTTTGCAGACTGTTAGAGCGATTTTATAAAAGTAAGCTTGAACTTTCGATTATGTCAAAAAGAATTTTCGATTCTGGAGCTGCCAAAGGATCTACAAAGCGAAAGCATGTTTCGATGTCCATCAAACAAAAAGTGGAATTGCTGCAAAAAACGGATAAAGGCATATCCTTTGTTTATCTAACCATTCCGAAATCTGTTTATCAATTTCATGCTGCTCTGCAGAGGGAAACGTCGCGGCGCGCAATGAACTGGAAGTTGATCTGACAGCACTATCCTTATCTTCAGGGCAGATGTTTTTATTTTATTCAGCTTATAATTCCTTACTAAATGTATTATTTCATTTCGATGTACTCCGTCTTTGATATGATTTAAATCAAATTTCTCGTCATTATAAATATCACAAATACACATCAAATAGTTTTCTGGTTGCAATTTTCTAATTTTGACTATACATAATGTATGCTTTAAGCATGTGTGCATTGAAAGAAATGTTTAATAAAGTAAACAAATAAATATTAAGCTTTTTTTTTTTGTAAATTTTGATACACTTTAGGTAATAATTGCTCTTTATTTCATAAATTATGGTTTCATATTTTTAATTTTATAATTTCTACATGCCATCTTACCAGATTTAAACTGATGATCTATAATCCGGAAAAACCGACAATCCGGAATCACCAAAGTTCCGACGAGTCCGGATTAAAGACTGTACCATAAAAATATCTGTTTCAAAAAATATATTTCCAAACCTAAAGTTCACCGAGTGAAAATGTTCATACAACACAGAATGACAGTAAATCTTAAAACAACAGTTTCATCTATATTACTTGCAAGCAAATTAAATACTCAAACTTAGTTTTATTACAGAATTGCCCAACAAGAATTGTAAAATCTCATAGATTAAAAAATCATCAAGGTATTTTTTGATAATGAAATAATTAGAGGATGAGTTAAAATCTTCAGTTATGTATAAAAAAAGAACTTAATTGTTTATATGTTTGGAAATCATGATGCAGAGGAAAATTATTAGGAATAACAAGAATGCAATTACCAAAGTGTAATGACTAAGAAGAAAATAGATTGTGAAGTATTAATCACAGAGGATTAAGTTACAAATGCATATCCCTGAACAGATCAGTACAAGGGTTGCTATTTATATTTCTGGCCTAATAATGAAAAAACAAATGTTTATGATCAAAATTAGTTTTATTATTTTTCAAATATACTTCATGAAGATCAATACACTTTTGCACGTGTTTGAACTAATTTTCGAAGCACTTTTCCACTCCGATTGAGGTAACTCCATAACAAGCGTTTTGAATGCATCAACTGCTTCAATGCAGATGACATAATTTATTTTTGATGTGCGGGAACAAAAGTCATCGTGAGCCAAATCAGGGCTGTACGGCGGATGACCCATAAATTCGATGTTTTGGCCTGTCAAAATTTCTTTTGTTTGTGCTGATGTGTGAGAGCTCGCATTGTCATGATGAAAAATTATTTGCCTTTTCATCTGCTTTTTTCGAATTTCTCCGATGACCTCTGATAAACAAATTAGTCGTGTACCATTCAGAATTGACCGTCCTGCATTACTCTAATGCCACTGTCACCACGGACCAGTACTTCCAAAGAAATCCTCAAGGATGGCTTAGTAATCTTGTGATAGTAGAGAAGACTGGTAGTTCTCTTAGACCTGCATGTCTCAAATTTTTTTCATGTCAGGACCACTTATATAAATTAGAATGTTCTGCACACCACCTTACTGTTGTCCCTTTCAAAATCAATCATTCTGGTGCATTTCTTTAACAGTATACATTATTTTTAAAAGATTATTAATTAAAATTCATTTCGTATTCAGTAATTGAATTAATAGAAAAAAATCTACATTTGTTTTAAATAATTCAAAGCAACTAGAGTTTGCATAAACTTTAGTTTATTAACTAAAATTTAAACAAATGTTGGTATTTACATTAATATTTGTGCCATATTATTACATTAATCGGAAAACTCAAGGATATAAAAGAAGCATGTTGCCATCGCAAAAATCACAATGCCTTTAATCAACAATCTCGACGATTTAAGAAAAATATGTTGCCACTGCTCGAATTAAAATATTTTCATCTTCCACACAGCACTAAATTGTTTAGCAGAGCATAAAATATCTGATTTTTTTTTCAAATTTACTCTGTTATTAATTTAAAAAACTGTGCAATTTAAAAGCAACAACTGAGCAATTATGAGATGTATTCATCAAAATCATTATATATATATTTTTATTTTTTATTGTAACTATTTTAACAATAGCACCGGCGAATTTAAAAACAGAAAAAAAGGTTGGCTCATAAAGTTTATTCTGCAGTAGCGAAAACTAAAGCCACAGCAAGGGAAGCATAAAGTAATGCCAAAGCAGTCGTATTTTCAATATCTTGATTAATCCCAGCCAAAGTAGGCTGGGATTAATCAAGATATTGAAAATACGTCTGCAAGATGTAAAATCTGTAAATCTAAGCGTAAAATTGTAAGAGAATCTTTAATAAATCATGGCATTCTAAATTTACTTTATGAAAAAATTGTGGTGGATATTTGTAAATATGGGGGTAAAAACTGCTTTGTAATTGGATGTTGCCTATCAAAGTGGTTATATACAATAAAACTATCAAATAAAACTAATTAATATGAAAACTTGAGGGTAGCTTTTCCATTCATGGTATACCCACAGTAGTTATTTGTGATAACATGCCTTCTACTAGTATAACGATGGACAACTCTCTGGTGATTTGAATTATATATAGTAGTCCTCATTATTCCATATCAAATGAATTTGTAGAGAAAATGGTTGGAATAGGTAAAAATATTCTCCATAAATCAGGAATGGGGGGTAGATGAAATCAACAAACCCCTTTCAGAAGACAACACACTGATTATTAGAATGAAGTTTTCACCTCTGACATCTTCACAAGTGAGTGTCTTCATGTAAAATTACCAGCTATTGTATCATTTTAAAAACTAAAGGAATATAAGGTTTTAATGGACAAGTACAGGTCTAGAAGAACGTAGTTAAATTTTGTCATGATAAGCAAGCCAAGGATTGACCATAGTTTAATAAAAGAAAACATGTGTTATTGAGAGTTGATAATATCATTGCCTGCCAGCCAAAATTGTTAAGAAATATTAAATTATTATTCCAAGATCACACTAAATAAAGACAGAAAGAAGAAGTATGGTATCAAAGAATTCATTTAATCTAAGAAACATAAAATTTCAGATGCAGATTATTCTAGGTATTAAGATACAGAACTATATTATCCAGACTGTCAAAGAGAATATTTAACTAGCTCAAGAAATACCAATCAAGCAGTGCAACAATGTACTTAAAACTCAAGTAATCAGCAGATTGCTTATGCAACTAGGAGTGGCAGAACTGTAAAACAATCATCTTAATTAAATATTTTATTTCATGGTTTCCCATGATAAAAGGGAAGATGTTACAAATTTTTTAATTGTATCCAGTTAATATAATAAAAAAATGCACTGCCTGCAGGAACAGAAGATTATAACTAATTAATGCTAGTTGGACTGCTATAACTGTCTAGAAATAACAAATAAGAAATTATTAATATTTATAAAATTTGAACTTTTTAATAATCATGTCTTATTATTTAGTTATAATGAAATAAAAGCTATTACCCTCATGTGTCAGATTCTATGACAATACAAATGATTTCCATCTGATTTTAAACAATATGCTAATATAGATTTTAACTTTCTAAGCTCCCCCCTGAAATGGAAGCCCCCTTCAATTTAATTTAAATTGTATTATACCTATTTACTTGATTTTTATATAGTTAAAAAAAAATTCACAGACTTTTGCCCCATCATGTATTAAAATAAACACATCAATAGAACTGAAGTAGCTCTTCAAAATTTTACAATTAGATACTAAAATGTTTAAAAAAAAAAAGTTGCAAATTGAACACTTCATAATAATTTATTATTTCTAATTTTAAAATATCAACAACTAACAGACAACAAGACGAGAAAAATCAGAAAAATCTTAAAACTTTTTTTATATTTATAAATCATTTAGTAAATTCACCTATATACATACTTTATAAGATGGGAGAACACTACCCACAACTCTGATAGGACACCCCGTTTGGCTTGAAGAGCATTGAGATAATATGTTCTGCTTTGTGAATTAACAGGTGGATATATTTTGAAAACATTTAATAAATATGTTTTTGCATCTAAAGCCAATTTCTCATCACAGTTTTCCTATAAAATCAAAAAATTTCTATTTATCTAATAATAAAATTTCATAAAGAATAAATTTATTAAGCATATATAGTCAAAAGTCGTTAATCCGGACTCGTTGGGACTTCAGCGATTCCGGATTATCGATCATCAGTTTAAATCTGGTAAGATGGCATGCAGAAATTACAAAATTAAAAATATGAAACCGTAATTTATGAAATAAAGAACAATTATAATCTAAAGGGTATCAAAATTTACAAAAAGAAAAAGCTTAATATTTATTTGTTTACTTTAGTAAACATTTCTTTCAATGCAAATTGTTTCATTTCATGTGATAATACTTTCTCTTTAATTCTATTAAACAGACATAATTTCTTGTTCAGTTACAAAGTTCCGCTGTTCAATTCCTATAATTGCTGTGTCGAGCATACCGACTAATTTGTCAATCGAAATTTTTTCGTTTTCAATAATCTCTGTGTCACTTTCTTCACTATCGGAAGCGAATTATAATGACGAGGAATTTGTTTTAAATCATATCAAAGGAGGAGTACATCGAGTTGAAATACTACATTTAGTAAGGAATTATAAGCCAAATAAAATAAAAACATCTGCCCTGAAGATAAGGATAGTGCTGACAGATCTACTTCCAATGCATTGCGCGCCGCGGCGCTCCTCCCACCGAGCAGCGTGAAATTGATAAACAGATTTCGGATTTCGAAACATACTTTCGCTTTAGATCCTTTACATATTAGCAAATATATATCGGAAATTCTATTTGATATAATCGAAAGTTCAAGCTTACTTTTATAAAATTGCTCTAACAGTCTTCAAAAAATAATAAGCCGGATCCAATTCGAAGATTAAGGAACAACGCAATCTGCAACATTAACTGAATTAGACAATTTTAGCTTAGCTTATACCGTCCGTTATACATTAAACGCGCATGCGTAAACATTTTATGCGTACGCGCACACGCATATTCGCAGCCGTAAAGGTCTTATGCACACACGTAAACACCTATGCGACGCATGCGCAGAAAGTTTGTAGCTTTGAGGTCCGGATTATGGGTGTCCGAATAAACGACTTTTGACTGTATTAAGTAAAAATGAAATATTGTTTGTTGCTACATTTAAAAAAAAAAATTAAGGTTTCACAAAATTGAGCCCATCAAGTGAGAATTTTAAAATATTTATATATAAGGTGGGCAAGAATTCACTCCCTATTGAAAGCTGTTTATTACTTTTCCAGGGTTTTCACACATTTCTGCATATGGAAATTATGTACTTTTAAGGACCATTAATGAAAAAAAAAAAATTAAGGACCTATCAGCAAATGGAAACTGAACTAATTCATTTAAAGAATATATGGTGATTCCTATCATGTTGTTACCTATATGTTTTACCATCAATCCTCGCATTCCATATCAGAGATTATGTTCTTACTGCATTAATATAAATATTAACTAGACATAGTGCACAATAGAAATTAAGCTTTATTTCGGAACTTCGTGCATACTCCCCGGCAGCCAGCCTGCTTCCCTCTGCTCGCTACTCGTAAGAAACTTCTCCTCTAGGGTTGCCACATTTATCAGAGGGCGGAAGGCATGCTCCTTATTGCCATCACCACAGAGTTTTTCCCCCCAGTTCCTTTGATGGCCATTCAAAGGAACGACATCAGGTTATGAATATATCTCAGAAAATCCATACTGTCGGGTATTTTTTTCATCATTACAAAATTAGAATATAAAATTAGAAAAGATCAAAATGCAATTCAATATATAAAAAGGTAATGACACATATAATAAACATGAATTTAAAATTGTTATGTAAGAAACAAGTTTCTTAGGGAAGTGAACATGTCTTTCCGACCTGGTGACAGTTTGTGTCTTAAGAGAGTTCGTTTGCAGATTTATTCTGCTGAACTGTCTTTAAGTCTTTATTTGTTTTCAGTTCAGGCAAATTAGAGTCCGAAAGCAAATAGGGTGGTTTCACACGGTCTATAGACATAGTAGATTTCAGACCGTTAATATCAATTGTGAAAGTTTTGTCCATTCTAGAAAGGACTTTATGCGGACCTGTACATGGTTGGCATGGAGGTGGCTTTACTGGATCGACACGTAAGTATACATGCATACACAACTTTAAGGTAGCACTTAGGTAACACTTTTCTTGGCAATGTGCAGATGTTGCTATTGGATTTCATTGTTGCATTCTATGCCAAAGATTCATGATAAATTGAGTGTCATACGGAGATATCTTATATGACGTTATCATATCATTAGGCAGCTTGAGAGCTGTGCCGTACACCATTTCATCACAAGATGACTGTAGATCCTTCTTTACGACTGTCCGAATACCAAGCATAACAACTGGTAGTGTTTCAGTCCAGTTATTGATCTTATATCATGAAAAATTCAAAGATTTATGAAGAAAATCCTCCAGAAATAAACAGAATTGCAAGTGGAATGCAGTGCAGCTAAAAATTCAAGAAACAAGAATGTGAAAACTTAACAACCAAGAAAGTTTTTCAGAAGGATCTTGAAACTTTGGAAGAAATATTAACTAGTCCAGATGCAGAAAAATGGAAGTTAGCCATGGAAGAAGAGTTGGAAAATTTAGAAGGAAATTAAACTTGGGACATAATTGGACTATGCCAAAAGAAAGGAAAGTTGTGAAATGCAAGTGGGTCTCCAAGAGAAAAAATAAAGATGGAACAAGTGGAAAGACAAAGTTTAACTGCTCGTAGCTACACCCACGAATTGACTATAAAGGAATTGACTATAAATAGACGTTTTCTTCTGTAATAAAAATAAAGTCAATTAGAACTTTATTAGCATTCTCAGTTAAGCAAGAATAGCAGATTCCTGAGCTGGATATTACTGCAGCCTATTAAATAAAGTGAGTCAATTTCTGTGGAAGAGCCATCAGTGAGTCTGCATGAGAAACCACATAAAAAAGTTTGCTTATTAAAAAGAAATCTGGTGAATCTTCGGATTATGGCGACTTTACGATTTTTTGGCAAAACTTTGGCGACCAACCCTGCTACAGCAACCTGCTAGTTTTTTTTTTTTTTTTTTTTTTGGATGCCATTTTGTTTTCACGAAGTAAAGGCTTTTTTTTTTTTTTTTAACTCAACATTTTTTCCAACAATCTGCTAGCCGAATTACGTTTCAGGACTTTATCCATGTACACATCGACCTATTTTCACTTAAAAAGTCAAAGAAAATTGACAAAAATCCAATTCTTCTTACTCTTGTAAAAAGCGCCAAACAAATAAGTGGACGATTCTGCACTTTAGCAGCGAAATTGTTTCCAAGTGTTTATTAGCTAAAATCCCGATTGGAATTTTCAGGAAAATGTCACATTACATGTCTCATGATCTCTCATTTCTCTGAGACAAAATAATCCGTGATTCGAACTGTGTACTTCTCAGATTATTGCTAAAGTCCTAGCTAGTAACCTTTATCGCCTTACCAAAATGTTGCCAAACTACCTGTTACCATATTCTAAAGATTAGCCAGAAATCTTTATGGACTTCATCAGTCTGGGAGAGAGTAGAACATCTGCTCTTGGAAACAACCGATATACTAGATGCTAAAGGAGCATCAACACCATTAGACTCAGGTATGAAATATTGCATTTTAAGATTAAATATGCTAAAGCTGAAGAAGAATCTTACTAAACGTTTCTCTAATCCATGCTTTTAATGCAAGTTAAGTTATATGACAAAGTCAACAACAAATCACTCAACTGAGCTTCTCAAAGTAGAAGTTGAAGTACATTCCCATATGTTGCCAAAAAAATAAATAAAATAAAAATTACAGTAACTTGTTTTTTCTTTTGTAACATAAATAACTTCAACACTTCCCCTTGTTAAAAAGAAAAAAAAAATCTTTTAAATTTAAATTAGAAAATTTTTAAATTAGAAAGTTTATACTAGTCCAGTGTTTCTACATAGCATCAAGAGTCTTGGTTTGTGTAAGGGCTTGGTCAACAAATCTGTAACTTGCACTTCTGTTGAAATCTGCTGCACATTGATTTTATCTTCCAGAACTTTCTCACGTATGAAAAAATGTTTTAGACTTATGTGCTTCGTCCTGCGATGAAACTCAGGGTTCTGAGCTACTCTGAGCTCTAAACTCAGGCTCTACTCAGGGTTCTGAGCTACTCTCACTGTTGTCTACATAGATGGTTGGCACTTGTTTCAAGGAAGAAACACCAGTAATCGGTCTGTTCAGCCAAATGACCTCTTTTGCAGCTTCATTTGCTGCAACTATATCAGCTTCTGTAGTTGAGGTTGCAACCATGGCTTGGCGTTGGCTCAACCAAGATATTGTTTCACCTGCTTACAAACATATTATTCCACTGGTTGATCTGCCTGTTTGAATACATCCACCAAAGTCATCATCACTAAAACATTCTAAAATTCCTGATTTATAAACGATGCATTTTTGCTTGGAGTTTGCAATGTATCTAAATACACGCTTAACCTTGATCCAGTCTTCTTTAGAGGGATTTTCTAATTTACGTAACAAAACACTAATAGAGTATGCCAAGTCAGGTCTTGTCCTTATCATCAAATACATCAATGCTCCCACAGCTTCATGGTAAGGGATATCTGTTTCATTAACTTCTTCTGTGTAAACTACTTTATTTTTCAAAATGGGTGTATGAACTGGTCTGCAGTCATTCATGCCAAACCGCTGAAGGATCTTTGTGGCATACGCTTCTTGCCTTATCTTAATACAGTAGAATTCCAGAAATCCGCAAAGCTTGGGACCAGAGGTTGTGCGGATTTTAGGATTTTGCGGATTTCAGGACAGAAAAAGATTAAAGCATAATATTCGGACTAAAAGTGCAAAATGAATAAGGCATTTAGATACATTTAATAAAATATATATACATTATTGCAATAATTTGTTACATGCATTAATTATTATTACATATATAAATGATTATATTATTCATTATATTATAGTATGTACACAGCATCGAGGTTTGCCAATTTCGCCTCATGCAAAG